AACCTTTGTATTTTGTTTCCTGTGCACAATCTATTGATATCGATCCAACTCATGTCTGAAGTTATGTACTGATTATTGTATGTCTCAACTGAAAAGGAGATGAGGCTCACATTTCAGCCATTTTCCGGATTCGGATAAGGCACATAGCTGTCTGACCCGAATTACGGAACACGGTACAGGCGCCAATTCTATTACTCTATGGACAATGCGACACGCTCTCGGACACGTACGCCAACGACTTTACCTAGTTCGTTGGTGAAAGTGCAATTCCAATGCTTGGATGGGAGAAGCGTTAGAGGCAACCTTTCCTGATGAGAGGAATCGTTCGGTGACACGCAAATTGGGGTGCACTCCTCGCCAAGGCACCGCATGCAGGACATGATACACGAGACGTCCTGGATGATTTCCTGGGCGGATGAGTGTCCTTGAACTTTTAAGAGAAATACCTCAAGGACGTATCCAACGCGTTTCGCATGTGGGAACCAGGACAAGGTTCTTTCATGTTTATCGCATTTACATGCCACGTGTCCGTTGGCGTGATGGTGGATCGAGTTGTATTCATTTTTGTCGTTCGAGGGCTGTTTTGACTCGTACCGACTTGGTAGCGATGCCACTTTGTCGCACGATTGGAACGGTTGTTCCAATGCTTCGTCGGCATATTCGTGTCTCAAGTACGTATCCACTGTGTTTCGCATACTCGACCCGTTCTTTCATGTTTGTCGCAACAATGTGCCACCTCTGAGCTCGCCTGATGGTGGGTCGAGATGTATTCATTTTTGTCGTTGGTGCTTTCAGGTTTGTTGGGATGCGTACCACCTTGATACTGTGAACCCCCGGAAAGAGCCGACAACACTTCCCAAAAAAGCCCCTGACCACCTCCACAACCTGACCTGTTTACTTCAATTCCAAGTCTGACATGCCAGTCCTTTTGACCAATTACAGGGCTGATACAAGAAAAACGGTGATTGACTGAAATTCTCCAATTTATAACCAATCAAATTGGACGCATTCACCTAATTTATTTATTTTTCTTCATGCATTTTTCAGGATGGAACTTCTTACCGAGGTCATAGTAGCGTCGCGACGACATTTTGACGCAGGATTGGGACGGTTGCGAATCGTAGAGTTTGGGTCGTTCCAATGGTTCATGCTCCTATTCGAACTCGTAGAGAACTGGTATGAATGAAAAAAAGCACAGATGCTGGGAAGCGATCCCACGACCTATGAAAAAATATACATGTACCATGCACAACGCATAAAACGGACCTGAATTCCCCGCTGCGTTCATCGGATGGCATGTCACCTGGTGCTGTCGACAACATCACCCTGTCCCTCGGGCCGCCGAACTGTCCGACACGAGAATTTTTGTGCCTTCTACACGCTTTTCCTGATGTAGACGTCCGTTGCAAGAATGAGTGGAAGATTTTTAGATGCATTTTCAACATTGGTGAAAAGGGTCGAAGGCAAACGAATTATTTCGTCTGATGCCAATGGAGTTTCATTGAGACAGGTTTGCCACTCCAAGTTTGAATCCCAAGCCCTGCGTGGTTACACAAGTACTCCTTCCGGTCCACTATATACGTGTAATGGCGCGAGTTTGGGGTAGTTGCCATTTTGTTGTACTGTTCATTTCAATCCCTCCCTGGACCACATTTCGTACTCCTGCTTGAACGACAAGATAGAGCGCGCCAAGAGCTTTCATTTGATGTGTCTAAAAGAGCGCAGTCGATACCCCAACAAGTACTACAATACCTCCATGCACACTGGAGAGCCACAACAAGGGGGGGACTGCCAGAGGTGTCTTGTCGAACAATGATTCTTAGGAGCCCATCGATGTATTTCGGCAATCCACCAACGCAACCAACCCAACGGTCCTCTCGTACACCCTGCCATGTAACGAACAGTGTCGACTGAACTTTGCGAGGAAGCTAGTATACTCAATACTTCTGGTTCAAACTCCCCATGTAGCACGATTAGCAAGCTCGACTGACCCGTTGGCAGGTAAAGCAGCTTACAGCACTGGTTTCTATCGTCCGAGAGAAACTGAATGGTGTGGTTTTTGTCGGGATGCATTCGTCCAGCATTTCGACTAAGAATTCATCTATAATCGACGGGTTGTGAGATTTGGCTGCGTCGTGCTTTCCAGATCGATACATGGACGGCCGGTTCGCGGCAATTTAAGCCGTGGGTCATCCGATTTTGTGGAGCACCACTTGGTGTTGGCTATTAGCATGGCCACTCGACGATCCTGCTGCCGACGTGCTGCTACATGAGTGAACCGATCGCCGCCACGTGAAACGACTGACTGACTTGTAGCAGTTACTCCATTGGAACGAATCAAGTGCCGCAACCATCAACGACTCATGCGTCGAGCGGGCACAAGCTTAGCCGTGTTGGCCGACCGGGAGGCCGACGAGAACACGAGTTCGTACAGAATCGATTTGCAAAGTCGTCGTCACGGGCGTGGATGTAGATGGCGTCCCTGTTGAAACACCAGACCCGGCCGAGTTTCAACCCCCGCTCGACACGACGGCGCCGCCGCCGTCGATGCCCATTTCAACTACTTTCGAGCAGCAGACCGTGCTTTCCAAGCTTCACCATGTCCGTGCCGTGTTTGAGTACAAATTTGACGCGGTGCTGTGCACGGTCCGCGGTCAAGTGATCCTCCTCATTCTCACTGGAGTCGTCCTCGACTTGACCATGTCCCCCATTGCTATCTTCATGTCACCCATGCAGTACATCGACGCAATGTACCAGACGCTCCTAGACATCGTGGACCCAAAGTCGAGCAGCGACGGCGATGCCGTCCGGCCGGCTGAGCTCATTGTGTGGACGAACCGGTTTCTCGGTCTCATCGAGTTTATCACTGGGTTCATCTACTTGAACGTGATCGTCGGGTTCGTCGTCGACTTGATCTTGAGCAAGATGGACGCGCTGAAAGAAGGCAAGATGGTGATTGTCGAAAGCAACCACACCGTACGCACAACTCGTGTGAGCTATGCCTCATGGTGTTTTGCATAGCTCGTCCTTGGATGGAACGACATGTGCCTGTCATTTCTCCACCAGATCTGTCTCGCCAACTCGAGCGAAGGCGGTGGCGTTGTCGTGATCTTGTGCGATCGCCCACGTCATGACGTCGAGCGTGAGATCCAAGATGCCTTGCCCGACACTCTCAAAACACAGATCGTTGTGAGCACCGGCAATCCGCTCATGGCAGCCGACCTCAATCGAGTGTCGGCATCGCTCGCCCGAAGCATCACAGTCATGGCGACCAACGCGAAAACGGACGTGTCCGATGCGGCCGTCCTCCGAACGCTTCTAACCATTCAAAGCCTCCGTGACGGAGTGCGTACCAGAAAACAAGGCGTTGAAAGTCTTTACAACTTGGCCTAGGTGCGGGGCCATGTCGTCGTGGATGTCGGGGATCCGGACAATAACACACTGCTCAAGGTCGTGTCAGCCACCAGTGACATCGCTGTCGAGACGATCGTGACACATCAAATCCTCGGCCGCCTCATCGTCATGTGTTCTCGGTCTCCGTCGCTCGCGAACGGTACTTCAAGGGCTTCTTCGTCCCGGTGCTGACACCTTTGTTGAGAGCAGTGTACAGCGAGTTACTCGGGTTTGACGGCAACGAATTCTATGCGCAATCATGGCCTGATCTGGAAGGACTTACGTTTGGCGAATTGCCCGATCGGTTTGCCGACGCCATCCCAATCGGCATCCGGGCCAGGTACGTCCACCTGCCGCAATTTCTTTACACGTTAAAAACGTCTCTAGCACTGGCAAAGTGTACTTGCGGCCGTCGCGGTCGCGAAGAGTCGAGTTAGGCGACGAGATCATCGTGCTGGCAGAAGACAACGACACGTACAAACCTAGCAAGACTTCACTAGCTACGTATAATCCGATGGTGCTCTTGACCAAGGCGCCAGTCAAGCCAGCGCCCCCGACACGCATCATGTTGTGTGGGTGGCGTCGGGAGCTACGGGATATCTTACGTCTCCTGGATGGGATATCGTCCCCGAACACAGAAGTTCACCTGGTGAATGCAACTCCAGTGGCGAAGCGCCTTGCCGATCTCCGGGACGAAGGCCTGAACGTCGACGAGCTGCGACGGATCAAACTCACGCACACGGTGGCCAACACTGCCGCAAAGCGGCACATCGAAGACCTCGTGATTCGATCGTTTCACTGCATGCTGGTCTTGAGTGATGGCGATCGAGAAGACGACAGTCTGTGCTCCGACTCGCACGTCTTGGCGACCGTGTTGCGTTTACGCGCAGTCGAGCTGAGCCAGTATGCCCACATGCCGCTGCAGCGATTGTCTCTGGTACGACCTTGCAAGATTTCCTTGCGCGTTGTCCTGTCGCTCTTCTTGCGTGCATGCCACTGTGAACTGTGCCCGCCGATACCTTCGTAGACGTCCGTCGACCGCACGACGTCGTCAAAAAAGCCACCAGCGAAGGCCGTTCCCCCGAATCGACGGACACATTGTGTGGCCGAGATCCTCGACACGCGGACGCAAAAGACGCTGCGGGACAACACGAGCCTGGCCCACAACGCCGACTTTATTCCGTCCAACGATTTCGTACGTTCTACATTCCCGTTTTGTGTGGCTAGGATTCACTCAGGGGGCAACACACAGATCAGCCGCATGCTTGCAATGGTGTCCGAGAGCCGATGGGTCGCCAACATCCTGGACGAGCTCCTTGGTGACCACGGCGTCAGCTTGGACGTCGTGCCCGCCACGCGGTACGATATGGGCACTTGAACGAGGTGACCTCTTTACAATGAATATGTTTTGCTGTCAAGGTATGCCACGTTTGGTGAGCTCGTGAGCTTCGCCGAACTCGCCCATCGCGCTGGCACCGTGTACGGCGACATCGTGTGTGGATTTGTGCACAAGCAAACACTAGCCGTGACTTTGAACCCGCCCAACAAGCAGCACATCGAGTCTTGGGACGACAACCGAGACATGATTGTGTTGAGAGAGGCCGTCCAGCAGCCGAAACTTCTTGGTCAGGTGACGGCAACGCGCCTCCAGCGTCAGGCGGTACGATGGGTGGACCGGCATCATGACGTCGTCGTCAACGGGCGAGGATTGTTGTTGTAGGTCCGGGCATTCAATGCAAAGGATGCCCACTTGTTTTCGGACCCACACTTGCTGGAGTTGGCCAAGAAGCGTGCGGCCGCCCTTGCTGATATCGAGCAAGCGACGCCCGATGACAACTGGCCCAGCGATGAAGAGGACAACGACGTAACCATCGTGGAAAACATCGAGTTCAACAAGCCCAAGGCACGACGAAAACGCCCCAAGTCTCCTAAACACCCCGACTGGTCGTGGGACGTCCAGCAGCTCCCCAGCGCCATCTCGAAACACGAAGATGAACGGTGTCGCCATGATCAAGTGCAGAGCTTTACTCCGTCTGTGCAAGCGGCACTGAAATCTGGCCTTGACGACGTCAGCTGTCTGCTTGGAGAGTTGATGGACCTACACCCTAGACCAACCAAAGCCCTGGCGACGTCATGATGGCCCAAGGGGACACGAAAGTCCTCGAACGAGTCGTTGGTTTGGTGGAGAAGCCAAAGCGTTGCTGATACGACAAAAGCGATGCGCCACACTCACCCAAGTATATAACTTAAAATGGAGAGGAGAAAGTTTCGAGAGAATTGCTAGTCACAGCCAACTTGGAGGGTTTGATGGTTTGAAAGTGATTTCGCATCCGTGCGTCGTTGTGTTCGACGACGCCGTGCGACGATCCCCCCTTCGCAGTGACTTGCACCACACCGCTGCCTCCTGTGAGCGGCAATACATGGGCACATGCGCAACGAAGTGAAGGTCTTAGCATCAATCAAAGGATGCAAATTCAAGAAAAATCCCTGCACGATGCTTTGGGCCATCACGGGCGATCTGGGGATGCGGGGGAGAGGTTCCAGTGGGGGTTTGGAAGGGTGTGGCCCGTCGACGGTGGTGGTCGTGTTGACGCGGTCGGCGCGGTTGACGCTGACTTTGGGATGTAATTGTCGCCGTAATGGGACTTGGACCGTGTCCGGGGGTTGTACGGCGCTCCTCGGTGCGTGGACTTGCCCCGGTTGACATGTTGGGACGGGCCCCTTCCCGCCCCTCCTCGAGGGCTGCGATATTGCGATGGGGCGCGTCCTCCCCCGCGGTAGTTTCGGTGGGGGTGCTGCCACGGACCCTTTTGACAACGGGTGTGTCCAGAGGGGGCCTCCGCCCACCGTTCGAGTTCGGTATTTCGTATGTCGTCGACGACGGGAATACGCACCTCTATCACCACAAACGCGTCACCGCGTCCGTCGCGTTCGACCCGAACATTTCTCAACAAGTCGTCCACGACCGTCATTGCTGCAGCCGCCTTGTCAAATGGGACTTTACCGACGACAATGTCGGGATCGATGCCCCCGTTTGAATTCTCACTCATTTATCTTGATAATTGTATGTCTATACTAACCGTAAGTTGCTCCACCATGTCTCTCCATTATCTTGCGGTTCCTATAGGCATACAAACCCGAAGAGAATGGAGCATCCCGAAGGTGTGAAATATTAGTTGTTCGAGGTTCCATTTCCAGAACGTTCGCGAATAAATTGTCCGAGGTGACGCTTCGTTCAAACATGGCGCATTGTGTGTGGATATAAAGTCACGATCGATCATGGACGCCGCCGACGAAGCAAAGACGCGCGGCAACCGGTTCTTCCAAGAAGGGCAGTACCAGCAAGCCATCGATGCGTTCACGGAGGCCATCTCGATCGACCCGTCCAATGCTGTGTACTACTCGAACCGGTCGGGAGCGTACTTGAAGGTGAACAAGGCCGCGCTCGCCGTCACAGACGCTCGCAAGGTCGTCGAATTGCGCCCAGACTGGCCAAAGGGGTATTCCCGTCTTGGAACGGCGCTCTTTTACCAGAAGAAGTACACGGAAGCCAAAGCTGCGTACGAGAAGGGTCTGACGAAGGATGCCACCGACGCCAACCTGAAGGACGGACTCAAGAACGCTTCCGCCGCACTTTCTGGTGTCGGCGCACCGCAAACGCTGCGTCAACTGTGCTGGGAAACCACGCACGCCAAGTTCCGAACGTTCCAGTTTGCCCTGCGAGCGTTGCAGATCGTGTCGTTTGTGTTGTACTGGACAGCCGGGTGGGGCAGCCCCGACTTTGCCGCGTTTTGCTTTGCCAACTTCTTCAAGCTCGCCGCGATTAACTACGTGTCGTTCCTGGCGTACAACCACGGCACTCCCAAGTTGACCCAGGCGTACGCCCAGCGCCTCGTCATGGACCCTGCCACGCAGTCGCTCCTGTTTTCATTGCTCTTTTGGTTCTCAACGCCGTACGCGTTGGCGCTGTTCCCGATCCTCGCCAACGAACTCGTCCACTTTGCATCGTTCGCGGGCTCGCTTCTCCTGGCCGTCAACTCGTCCCTTGGGTCGACCCTCGAAACCCAAGTGTTTGACCGTGTCATGCCGTTTGTCGTGGTACGTCACATATTCTGCAGTGCATCCCATCGTGGCATGAAACTTGTCGGCCCGTCTACCTTGTCTTTGGATGTCCTATACTAGTCTGGGCGTATGTGGAGCGCATTCCCGATGAGTTTCTCTCTCGTTTGACAACTATGTGCGCATTGTGGCTCCGTCTCGGCGACTTTGTCGAGTCGTTGGATGGGTACATCTAGCGTGTGTGCTTTGGAGTGGGTGGAATAGATGGGCTGCCCCGTGGCCCCCGCCTGGACCAGTGGTTGGCGCTGTTGGAAGCTGACCACTGCAAGTGAGATGGATCGGACGACTGCTCGAGGCTGGCGTGCCAAAAGGAGCATGTTTGTGGTGGAAGCAGCTTCTTGGATACCCGTGCGACGTTTGGATGACATGGGTGTTTGTAGGGAGCGCAAACGCAATGGCATACGCTCAACACACACGCCAAGTGGGCCGCCGTGTACCACCGCGTACCGACCCTGGTGGCGTCGTTGGAAGTTGCGATCGGGCTGAGTTTGATCTTGGAACTGATTACGCCGGCACGCAACTTTATGCTGCTGCTCGTGTACTGGCAACTCCTGCGCATCCGCTACATGATTTCGCCGCAACTTAAGAACGCGTTTGCCGACTTGGACCGCGGCATCACGACGATTGTGTACCATCCCCGGTGCCCCCCGATTGTGTCGACTGCGTACGCGAAGCTCAAGGCCATGCTCGGCAAGATGGTCGAAATGCCCACACCCGAGCAAGCCCAACAGCAAACCACGTCCAAGTGTACTATCATGTAGAGTTAGCAATCCTCCCTTAACCATGCCAATTCTCTTTCGTGTCTAGTACTGCAACATATATTCAGGCTGTAGATGTGTCCGTGCGATGCATGGCTGAGCAACTCAATTGCGTCTGCGATCTGTGCCGCCACCCAGTCCACAACATATTGCATCGATTACAGATACGCAGTACGGAGTCTGTCCAAGAACGTGGCAGCCGCAGGTGCGGAGTGGCGACTCTTTCGTGTTGGCGGTCCTCGAACGGCTATGGACAAAGCATCGTGGAAGATCGAGCAGTGAACTCTCTGCACTTCTTAACTAACACGGAGCGGCGCCGCATTGAGTCGACGCACTGGCTTAACCCACGCATGACACGATGATGAAAATGGCAGCCACGGCGACCGCGTTGACGGTGCAGTGATTTCATTGGCTCCTTTGCGATCTTTCGGAGCATTTGATTGGCTACTGCTGATACTTATGCATTTCCAACGTGTTTGGACGATGACCACAGACGCGTAGGTTGGTTGTGCACGCAAGTGCCCCTGACATTCCACAGCTCTGAAAGACAAGGGTCTCCCAACATGCACTAGTTGGGAGATTGAGATATACCCCCTCCCAATGAACCTATCGACAATGACCAGGGGACTTACCACACCGAGATTGGTTCGGACGACGTACGCCAGAAGTGAGGTTTCAGTTGAAATCGAGTACAACAGTCCCCCATACTTTAAGCGCGACGAGGGTGACAGTGGAGAAGACCTTGTATTGGCCACACTCATGCACGCCCTCGCCGAGAATTGCGCAAGCCTCTTGCCCCCAGCGCACACGGACATCCTGTGGAACGCTCTGCGGAATTGATTCACAAAAATGTTTATGGCTATTTCCGGATAATGACATGTTAACCGTACACTCAACGACCCAGCATTCGGTGGCTGGAGACGCATTTTCCAACTTCGCCGCCGAAGATGTCGCATTTCTTTCAGAAGCCCGAGAATGCGCTCAAGCGCGCAAACGAGCTCCTGAACACGCCCAACGCGGATGCAGGGGTTGTCAAGCGCCAGAAACGTAACGCGTTGGAGATCTTGCATGAAGCGTTGATCGCCAAGAAGAACCGCACGTGGCAACCCACGCACGAAGAGTTGATGCTCACGTATTTGAACATCACGATCGACCTCCAGCTCGGACGCATTGCCAAGGACGGGTTGCACCAGTACCGAAACCTTGTGTTGGCGCAAAACCCTGCCTCGTTGGAGAAGGTGCTTCTGTTCTTTGTGAACGAATCCGAGAAGCGTGTCGCTGAAGCGCGCAAGCACTCGACCGAGATCTCGATCTTGGCGTCGGTCGATTTGGAGTCGTCCCAATCCCCCGAAGCTGTCATGATGAGTACCACAACGTCCGAAGACTCGGCAGATCGCACGGACCGCGCCGTAGTGTTGCCTTGGTTGCGTTTCATGTGGGAGACCTACCGCACTGTGCTCGATATTCTCCGCTGCAACACCAAATTGGAAGGGTTATACAAGCAAGTCGCACTCAGTGCGTTCACGTTCTGCCGCACGTACGCCCGCAAGATCGAGTTTCGTCGACTGTGCGAAATCTTGCGCACCCATCTCTACACAATGCAGCGCCACGAAGCCGCGCCGACCACCCAAAGCGTCCGCCAGATGCGTGGGTGGGAGGGCTGGAGCGCCGAGTCAGTGGAACTACACCTGACCATCCGCTTCGATCAACTCGACGCCGCCACGCACTTGGAGTTGTACACGGAAAGCTTTCGCACCATCGACGACATTCATGCGATCATGCAATTCTGGGCGACCCCGCCAAAGCCGTCCATCATGGCGACGTACTACAAAAATTTGGCGCACATCTTTTACGTGTCCAAGAATCACTTGCTTCACGCGTTTGCCTATTTCAAGTATTACACGTTGCAGCAGCGCGAAGGGGCGGTGCTCCCTGCGGACGAACAACGCGTCCTCGCGTCATCGGTCGTGTTGGCATCGTTGTCGATCCCCATCCGCAACCACCACAGCATCTTGTTGGAAAACGCCGAGACCGCCGCCGGATTGCTGGAAGAAAAGGACGAACACATGGCCGCGTTGCTCGGGTACGTTGGAGACCACCTCGCCAAAATTGTCGAGCCGCTCATGGATGGGGTTGGTCGACACGTAGATTTACGTCCCTCCAACCCCCCACTCGTCGCCAATTGCTCGACGACATGCAGTCATTGCACATTGTCGACACGGCGCTGCCCGAAGTTGCTGCCTTGTACAACCACCTGGATCGCACAACGATCGACCCGTTGCTCATAGTGTCGCAGATCCAGCCGTCGTTGGCGGCGTTGGCCACCAACGCGACATTGAGCGTGTATGTGCCGTTCCTCGAAGAACTAACGATTCACCTCGTGTTGGAACAACTCACGCACGTGTACTCGTCCGTGACCCTGGCGCATTTCCACAACATGACCAAAGGCCTTACCGCGACGCCGCGCGACATCGAGCAGCTTATTGTCCGTAGCCGCAAGGACGCGTCGGCGTCGATCCGTGTACGCATCGACCACGCAAGCAGCTGCATGCGATTCTCGCCCGTCTTGGCGTTTGAGAGCCAGGCCAAGCACTTGACGCACCTCGGCCAGAAGCTGCAAGCCGTCATGAACAAGGTGGTCCCCGTTGGGCCGTCGACCGAGTTAGTCGCGCGCACGAAGAAGGGATTGCCGTCGACACGATCGGCAATGTTGCAACGCCGCGTCCGCATCGAGCAGCAAAAGGAAGCGTATGAGCAGCTACAGCAAGAACGCGCCAAGGCCGACGCCCGCAAGAAGGCAGAAGCTGAAGCTCTCCGCGCCAAGCAAGAAGCCGAGCGCCTGGAAGCGGAAGCCAAGAAGCGCGAGCTTGAAAAGATCCAAAAGATCAAGGAAGACATTGCCCGAAAGGACGCCAAGAGCATCCTGGCCAAGCTGGGCAAGGACACGTCCGACGTCGACTTCGACACGATGGACCGTAACAAGCTGTTGCAAGAGGCGAAGGAGAAGGCTGTCAAGGCAAAGGAAGAAGCACAGCGTAAGCTCAAGGACGCTGCGCGCAACCTCGACCACATTGTCCGCGCGACGCGTGAAGCCGAGTTTCCCATCTTGCAGGAGCAGTTTAAAGCCAAGCAGGCCGAAGAGAAGCGATTGTTTGAAGAAAACTGGGCTGCGACCCTCGTCCAAGCCGAACAAGACCACGCGTTTGGCCTGGCACAGAAGACTCTGTTTGTTCAGTGTCAGCCCTTGTCTGCTGCGTTCCGCGCGGCCCACGAAGACCGCCAACGCGCCAAGATTCAAGCGCAGCTGGCGCAAGAAGCGCTTCGTCGCCAAGTCAACTTGCTCGAAGAAAAGGTCGACCGCGCGTTGGCCCGCAAGGCCGATCACGACGAGGAAGTTCGTCGCGCCGAAGAAGCCGAGCTCAAGCGCATCGAATCTGAGGCTCGCGCCGAACGCTTGCGCGCCGAAATTGCCGCTCGCGAAGCCGAGGAAGAACAACGCCGCCAAGAAGAAGAAGCGGAGGCCGAGCGCATTCGCCAGGAAGAAGCCAACAAACCCAAGAAATACTTGCCCCCATCGGCCCGTGGCAGCACCCAACCGTCCGAAGGTGGCCCAGACGATGCGAACTGGTCTACGGTGCCCCGTGGCGGACGCCGCTTGGACGACGTGTTCAAGGGACGCGACGGTAGTGGCTTTGGCTCCCGTGGCAGTGGCATCCGGTCGTTCCGCGGCGAAGACGATCGCGATGGATCGAGCCGTGACTTTTCTCGTGACGGCTCCTCGCGTTTCGGTCGCGACGGCTCCAGCCGTGATTTCGGACGCGACGGCCCCACCCGAGAAGGCTTTAGCCGCGACTTCGGCCGTGATGGCCCTAGCCGCGACTTCGGCCGTGATGGCCCTAGCCGTGACTATGGCCGCGATGGACCTAGCCGCGACTTCGGCCGCGATGGACCTAGCCGCGACTTCGGCCGTGATGGCCCTAGCCGTGACTATGGCCGCGATGGACCTAGCCGCGACTTCGGCCGCGATGGACCTAGCCGCGACTTCGGCCGTGATGGCCCTAGCCGTGACTATGGCC